TCTTAGAGAGCAAAAGGGTATTCACGATAAAATACTGACTCTTAAAAATGTTTCTTTCAATAATATGGGTAAATACCGTAATAGCGACCGATCAAAGACATTTCACCATGACGAAATGAGTATATTGTTCATTTCTTGCTATTAAACTACGCAGCAAGCTTTATGACGCAATGAAGTACTACGATTCCTTTTTGTTTTGTGACATATCAATTGTGATTTGAACTAATCTGACCGCTAATGATTTGGGATTCCCGATTAATGAAAAATCCGTGGGAAAAATGTTCTATCGATAACGACATCTGTGATAGGCGTTATTGTCCATTTCTGGGTACCATTCAAGACATTGGTTGTCAGTTAAGCCATCAATGTAATGTTAAGCCATTCGAGATGAAGAGTAATGAATCGGATTTCTAAATAGTATACAATCAATTTCAATACGGAAAAATCGCTCCCAATTCGGAGCTAATACTGAGGGTGTAGAGCTTTCGAAGAAAAATGAGAATCTGAAGTGTTATTTACGCATAGCAAATTTCTTACAAGAAGGAGGAGCGCCCGGCGAAGCCGGGCGACATCATAAGAAGGAGGGAAGCCCGGCGCTAGCCGGGTGGCCCGACTGGTATTTAATATACCAGGTTTGCCGAGCATTCTAAAGATTACAACCCCCTCCACTGGATTTTTCACGAAATTTTCATGAAATGTCTTAGAAATAAGTTCGAAGTAATCTTAATCTCAAATACCTCCTTTTTTTAACACTGCATCACAAATAACTCATTATTTGCTGAGCAAATTCACTGCATTAGAAAGAACATTCAAGCGCCCTTCATTTTTCGAAAAACCTCATTCATCAGTCTTGGCATGCTCTCAACTAGCTAGCACCCTGGAACCAAAATATGTGTAAGAGCCAAGCATGGACAATTGGAGCTTCTTGCTCATGTTATGTTACTCCACCATGGACTGTGAGAACCGGGTGCCCGCGCAAAATTTTCTTTTCTTTTCCGAAACTGTTGTACTAACCTCGACTTCAGCCATTAGTGAGAGCATATTTTCAAGAGTATTGAGATGAGCAAGCTTGACCTTCGAACCAAGGACACTCACCGAAGGTAGAACCACATCGCCTTGTGAATCACGAGGCGACAGCATCTGCCTCTTTTTTGGAGGTCCGTAAAACCAGAGGTCATTCAGATGAACAGAATCGTTGAACGAGTCATCGCATTTCGCCATAGAATTATTCGAATCAGAAGCATTGGAACGACGCGACATGACCAAATCTTCGTGACCCTCTCGAACATTCAACCAATTTTGTCGAATGAGCTATCTTATTTCACAGGAGCAGGAACGAGCTGTAATAACTTGGAAATTAGGAATTAATTTCAAAGCTGTAGTGAAAGTCATACCGAAGGCACCAAGTTTGAAGGCACAGTTCACGATAGAATCAATTCTTTAGATATCTGCCTAGAATGAATGAGTGGCCCCGGCCCCCAATATCTAATATATGGTACTGCCAGATCGGAGAACGGTTTAGATAAAGCGTTATGAGAGTTCAAAGATTGTATCGAGTGTGTGCCACACCCAAAGATGGACGAGTTTCAGCGGCTTTGCAGAGATGCACCATTTACAGAGGACACCCATGCTGGAAATTCAAACACCTACTGGGAATTCAAACACCTAGTCCTGGTCCATGGCGACAGTATAGGGCAGATTCGGACATGTCGGCTAAGTAAAGCCAGCTCTTTACGCAAAAGCAACAATTAATGTCTTAACCAACCCCCCTCCCATGCCAGTTCCTTTGCGGTAATATCCCACAACTTCTGCTTCCACTACTTATTTTTTTGAATCAGCGGATTCTTTCGCTTTCTCTGCTAACAAAGCACTATTCTCCAATCGGTCACGATACCAACGGTCTCTTCAAGAGCTTACTCCATTAAAATGAAATGAATATTCATTGAAAAGAATTCGGTGGAGCCTAGAAGATCAACAGGAAACATATGAGCCCATAGAAGCTCCACCCACAGGGGCGCGACAAGCCCCGGAATGGGCGGCACCCAAAGCCAAACATCTTATTTCGCTTACGAAAAAGCCCAGTTAACAAGGGAGAATGGACAAAGGCAAGGAATGAGCCAGCAAAACAGGCGAAGGAGATCCACCTTTTGTGAGCGAGGCGTCCCCAAGAGGGCAGCACTTCCCAAAAAAAAAANCCCCCCCCCCCCCCCCCCCCCCCCCCCGCCCCCTGTGCCAACCTCGCCCATTCCGGGGATTTAACCAATTTGTTGCATAACCTCTAGCCGCTTTTTTCCCGCGTTTTAGAGGGTTTCTAAACAGAGTCATGGACTCCTGATCTAAGCCCCTCCCACTTCAGTGCGATTTCCGCCCACTTCTGGGACTTAAACACATTCGTTTTATTACATCCTACCACTTTTTTCCCGCATCCCAGAGCGTTTCTGAATAGGGTTATAAATTTTTGATCTAAGCTCCGCCCACTTTTGTGCCAAGCCCGCCCACTTTTGGTATTTACCACATTCAATTTACTATATCTTACCACTTTTTCCCGCATCCCGGAGCATTTCTGAAGAGTTATAAATTTTTCATCTAAGCTCCCCCCCCCCTTAGTGTCAGCCTCGCCCACTTCTGGGATTTGATCGCACTTGTTTTATTACACCTTACCGCTCTTTCCCGTGCCTTAGAGCTTCTCTGAACGGAGTTATATTAAATATTGAAATACAGCTTCCATTTCCACGCACGCCCCGCCCATCATGGGCGGAGCCTCGCCAAGTTTAGGCATGCCCAGCACGCATAAGGCCTTGCTCATTCTTTTTATCTTTTTTCTGGCTTCCACGCCTTCGTTTAATGAAGTTATGAACTTATGTGGGAAGTACCGTCCACCGCGAGCACGCTCCGCCTACCGCCGGTGAGTCTCCTTCATTTCATTTGTTGACCCATCCCTGAGTTTTGCTCATTTTTTCTCGGCGTCTGGGCTGTTAGAAGACCGAGTGAGAAAGATTCGCCCAAGGTTCCACCCACTCCTGTGTAAGTCCCGCCCGCTGTGGGCGGGGCTTAGCTGAGCTCACGTGTATTCTATTCGTCTTGCCTTATGCTCAACTCATCCCAAACTTGATCCGACCTCTTCAGGTGTTCCTTCAGGTAGATCGAATTTCGTAACAGATAGGGAGACAGAAAGATAGACAGACGCGAGCGCTTTATACAAAGTAAGGATACTATCTGTGTAGCACGGAAGTAAGGGGATCAACCACACAGCGGGCAAGCACGTAATTGCTGTGCCTTAGAACGAAAATTCAGTACGGTTCCTACAGTAATCCGGCACGGCATAAACACATTTTGACATGCAAATTCTCACCCGTTACATATACGACTCGTCGAAAGGGGGACCTGGGCAGGGACACGGGTGTGAGTGACGGGGAATCAGGAGTTTAGTGTAAAAGATAGGCGACTGTGCAGAATTTCGTTTCTGTTCAAACAAGTACTTTGCAAAACGTTGTGCGATTTTTGTTCATTCCCCTTTCTGGAATGGATCGAAGAAAATTAGATGTATTCTGAAGAAATTTCTGCATTAAGTTAACTGCATAAACAAAGCGGCGTTCCGAGGACCAGCATACTTCTTCAACTATGGAAACCTAGTTTAAGGGATCAGGACCCTGGGCGATCCTGCCTCCCCCTCCCCCCTTCCACATCGAATACCTCGCAAAACAAAGTATTAATGGTAGAAAAGAAAACTAGATAGCTCCGTTATTTCCCAGGGCGTAAGGGTGGAAACGCAGAAAAAACTTTCAGATTTGCTACACAAGAGTTGAAAACAAAGAAGGCATCACAGGGAGGAAATGAAGAAAGGTCATCAAATAGAGCATGAAAAATGGTCTGATTAGCGAATATCATATAAATGAGGAGTCTATTTAAAAATGAAGTAAAAAAATTCAGAAGAAATTCTTTCTTTATATTGGCGCCCTAACATAGTAGCCGTGGAGCGCGGAAAGCGCATCGTAAAAGTTTCCGTGACCCTGCTCTTCCTTCACTAATCCGATCGTTTTCCTTTTCATCGTTGGTTGTATTTTCTGTGATTGTTTAATCAGTAGCGATGGAGCAGGACTTTGGCCTTTCGAATTATATTGGGGAACGGAAAGTCAGTGTCCCTTGCGTCTTGAAGGAACTGTACTCGGATTTCATTGTGCAGGAAGTTCTTGGTATGTTTCTGTTGTGGAATCATTTCTTGTTGTTATTTACTTTTTTACCATTGCCTTTTATAGACGATAGAAGTGTATTGCAATTACGAACAGCGGATGACATTAAAAACTACATCAAAGAGGAAGAAGAGAGAGGTGTTGACGAAACTGTGACTGTGCCACCTTTTTTGAATAGTGAACAGTTGGCAAGCTTAGATGCCTTGAATAAATCTTCGGAGCCGTTGCTCATATCTTGCGAGGTGTGTTTTCCTTTATTCATTACATTTAGAACCTTTTGCTTTGCCATTTCAATGAGTGCACAGCGTGAGGGAACCTTCCTCGCGATGCTTTTCACTGCCTTTTTACTTTTTGCAGGGCTTCAGCAAGGATGACCGAAAAGCGTTACATGAATTTGTTAGGATGCGATATCATGGCAAGTTGAATACTGAGACAAAGGAGAATTCCATTGAAGTCAGCTATTTTGGCATAGACAACCGATCAAGGTTTGCTTACTTTTGGAATCTGTATTGTTCTGTTAATGTTATTTTTGTGTCCTACTTCTTACCGTTACAGAAAGCGAAAGCGATGGCATAAAGATTGTCCCAATCAAGGTCATTTTACATTGGCAAAAGAAAACAAGGACACTAGTTACGCTCTTGGAGTTATTGCAAAATTCCTCAAGTAAGTTGACGAAAGAGGTTGTATTGATTAGTTGTTTTGATTAGTTTCGATTTTCGAAACATTCCAGTGTTAATACAAACACTTTCCGCACTCATGGAATCAAAGATCGACGTGCTATTACTTGCCAGCGCGTCAGTTGTAATCGAATAGAGAAGGTACAGAACTTTTGATTAAAAATGCAAATGACAAATGATGCATTTACTGGTTTACCCACCAAGCACTAGATTTGTGAGTGATAAGCTCCTTATCGATTCTATAATACCCGGCTCTATATTTAAAAAGTCTATTGCATTTTGTCAACCGTAGTGGTGTTGAAGGGCCCTGATACCCAAATGAGAGGGTGGTGGTTGTTGCGGAATGGTAGCAGCTTTTCTTTGTAGTGAGAATAGATTGTTACATGAGCTTTATCGCCACCGTGTTTATATTAGGAGACGGAGGCTCAATCTCCTCAGTCTCGGTTAAAATTACTTCGGGTGCTGCTGAATAAACCTGGGCGTTTTGCTAAGCAGGAAAGATTAAACGAATACCTAGCGATAGTATACATTGTTCATTGAAGACGCAATGTGGCCTATGTATTGTTCGTACGATCTACTTCGTTCTGAAAGCAGTTTATGCTTAAAATGTAGCCGACTGTCGCTTATCGAAAAGAAATTTCGTATGGGATGGGGAATTAACTTCATTTCTATCCAATCCACACGCGTAATACAAGTTTTCCAGGAGCGGATTCTCAGCTTGAACTCCCGCCTCAGGGACATTATCGTGTATGATTTCGAATATGAAAACGATGAACTGAAGATGGGAGGACACTGGGGGAACCGTTTCAGCATTATTTTGAGGTGAAAGGCTTTTACACCGTACGTTTCGGGCGTTTCACTATTGCATCATCAGTACTCCCTTTATGTAATACAACTCTGTTAAGAAGTATACCACCTGAACTGGAGAGCACGTTGACAGGTCGTTTAGAAGAACTAGAGGAAAAAGGATTCATCAATTACTTCGGTTAGTTGCCGGGGATTAATTTTGGCCCGGCAACGTTGGGGAGAGATAATTGTTTAATACTCAGGTATGCAGCGTTTTGGTTCCTGTGGTACAAGCACAGCAGAAGTGGGGAAACTTATACTGAAAAGAGATTGGGAAGGAGCTGTAGCACTTGTCCTCAACAATGATCATTTACCCGGTAAAGTTCCTTTATTGAGCTTTATTTCTTAGCGAGAACCGCTACTTAGGTTTATTTCGTTGTTGCAATGATTCGCGTCTAACTTATGAGTCAGAGTATGTTCAAAATAGTTTCATGCAATCGTTTTGGTTCAGGATATCTTGGGTCGGTGGGAGACGCACTCCGATGTTGGAAGCAAACCAAAGATGCTTCACAGGCACTTCGATATTTAAAAGGAAGCCAAGCATACGCATCAATAGAAGCCATCATATTCAAGTGCCTAGCTAGAGGCGGAACTTGGCAAAAGGTTATTCTGTCATGGTGCTTTTATATGTATGCTTATTTTTGCAGCTTTTCTACGACCTTTTGACCAGTGGAAGCCTCAACATTGACCAAAAGCTGGAAGTTGATTTTCCTCCCAAATGTCACATTTACTCTTGTACTTCTCAATGCATTTATTGCTCAAACGTTCTACTGCTATCGCAGGTTGTAGAACGTGTAGTAGTAGTACAGTAAAAGAACTTACCAGTTTCCCGCTCCTTTTAGTATGTCAAATGTTCTCATATAATGTGATAATGTGGGATTGCCGGTAGGATTATCCGCTGGCCACCTCTGTGTGTGCTTGGCTTCAGGGACCCTTCTAATCAGTGGATCATCCAATCCACAGATAGAAGTAACTCCTGCAGCGACATAAATTTTTTGGCTTGTGATAATAGGCAGTGCATGAAGGCTTGGGAACATATCTGTTCCAGAATCGGATTCGATGAAAACGTGATTCTTCAGGAACGGTTCGGAGACTTCATATGGTCATCTATATAAAGGGTATTGATGGAAAGTCGAGGCTAAATGACTTCTACAACATGTTTTGAAAAGCACGGTCACAGTAAAAATTTTATCTCCCTGCCTTCGAGCCAGCGCTACCTCTGCTGTCCGTCTTCCCGACATGCTTTAGCTCTCGAGTCTAAAAGAATAAAGATGTGTAACATGGCATATTGAGAAGGTTTATATCTCTGTTTGGAAAATTGCTGATCAGATACAGAAACGAGCTTGAATTCAGCGTTTTGGAACAAATAATAGTCTGCTTTTCGATCCATGCCGGCATGGCCAAATGGTACTTCTCCCTCCCATGATCAATTCATGATAGTGTGCTCATACATTTTGCTCACTATCAAAAACTGATGTGCGACGTTTCCTGCTTTAGTGCACATTATGATTCAATCTAGTCAGTGCTGGGTGGGCTAGATTCTATGGGCATGTGGCTGTATGTCTGTCTGTTCTTTGGTCGTTTTTTTTCAAACACACATACTTCAGTGTATTACGGAAGCGTTGCCGATGAATCTCAGGAGTTTGTATGTGCACGCTTATCAAAGCCTGCTGTGGAACAAGGCATGTTTGTCTTTTTGAACCTCACCTTCCATTGCGTTGTGCATCGAATCGATTGAATTAGACTAGGTTGTTTCTCGACGGATATCTGAAAATGGAACTACAGTACAACCAGATGATGTGGGACTAGATGGGAAGAAACTTCCTTCAGAAGCCTCGCCATTTGACATTTATATACCACTTCCAGGAGAAGCTTCCAATTTTGAGAAAAACTATGGTCAGAAGCTTTTAGTTCTAACATTTATTTGTTGGTCCACTGAATCTGAATCTGTTGTGCAGTGTCGCAATGGTATGAAGAAATGTTAGCCACTGATGGCCTATCGATCTCTTCATTTTCTACTTTGGAAGAGTTAGTTTTTTCTTATCGTCATTATGCATTACAATCAAAACTGTGCAATTTTTTTTAGTCGATTTGCGCTCGGTGAAACTGCAAGACCTATGCTGATACGTCCCGTTGATGTTAAATGGAGGTTTATTCGATATTCTGATCCTAGAGCCCACCTTCAAGTAAGTTTTTACTCGTATACGTATATGAAGCATATATTGCACCTCAATATACTGCTATTTATATGATGGAATAACGACACGATCTATTGATGAGAGTGAAATGGTTGGTGATTTTATGGCACTTCAAGTGCAGTTCAGTCTGCCCTCGGGTTGTTATGCGACAGTGGCGTTGCGACAGATTACGGGAACCGACATGGGAAAGAATTCCATGAAGGTAGGCAAGTTAGCAGTTTCAAGGACAGAAACATCCTAACACCTACTCTTTTGTTAACATAAAAGTCACTCTTTGGACGTGTCCTACATTATTTACATAACACCATAGCAATTTTTTAAACGTTGAATTTGCGTGTTACAGACCATCACCATACCTGCCCTCAAGTTTGCTTACTTACACTGGCCTTTTCATTTTATCGTTAATTTATGCAGCCTGCTGGCGACCTCTTATTGGCAGGGCCACCGTACAAGTATTTGCCTTCGTAGGAGCTCCGCTGCTGTCAGCCTGGTCAGGCAGCAGGAGGAGAACACCGAGGGCAGGTTTTGGAGCTGGACTACGGCCCCAAGGGACGCGCACGAAAATTGTTCCCTTGTATTTTGCGCATTCCATATTGGTAGGGAGGCAAGCGGCAGGGTAGGGACACTAACAATAAGAAAGATAGCAGGACTGTGAACTCTGCCCAGGGAAGTCGGGGCCAGGAAAACTATTGTGCTAGAAATGGAATTTTCAAATGGAAGCGATTGTGTGGGGCAGGAAACGGACATAGACGGTTGGTGGTATGCACGTATTCTTCCTCCAGGGTGCGCAGCGTGCTCGAAAGTTCTTCTTTCATACTTAAGCAGCCATATCCGGAAGGGATACAGGAGGCCGAAGGAAATCATGATAGTAGGCGGCACGGCTGGGGGCTTGGCGTTCACAAATGAGCATAATCTGTGCGCCGTCAAATTTCATGACGAGCTGGGCACGCACGAATTGTGTGGTTGACTATGTGACGTGCAAGTTAATGTGTGTATAAGTATGTTCATATATGTGGTATTTCTGTGTACGTGTATCTGTAAGTGTATGTCTATTTGTACGTGTATGTGTGTGTGGTGAGTCCATACTCTTCCCATTTGGATTTTGTGATTAAAAGGCGTTGTTGCCCATGGGCTTATATAGACTATTTGTAAATTTTTTCTTTAGATTCATGCTGAAGCTGCTAAAACTGACTGGTCCAATGCTCAAAACAGCGAACACAGCATAGTGAGCGATTCAGTGGAGAATAATGGTGAGAAAACTGACTGCCATTCAGAAGGTGTGTTTGTGAGGACGGATTCAACAGATGGGACTGTAATTGCAGGAGACGGATTATAACCAGAAATTTAGTTGCTTCGATGTTGTTGATGTTTCTTTGTTCGTTGTTGTAGTATTTTGTACCTGTTGACTTGAATGAAATTTGAAACTCGTTATGCAGTTGAAGCTACCATTTGGTCTTAGCCCTCATGCTTCTGAAATTCTTGCGTCCGAAACTATGCATAAGATGTCGCAAAATGAAGTTTGTTTACAGATGAAGGTGAGCGTTAAGAACAGGGCGAATGGAACTGTGTTCCAAGTCGAATTAGATGCAAATGCGACTATTGGTGAACTTCGTTCAAAAATCGTGTCACATGTTGGAGATTCGTGAGTACGCTAGGCATGTCAGGGATTTTTAGAGGAGTGTTTCTTCGTTAGGGTGGTATAAAGCTACCGTCATTTTTGCAGTTGTCACCCGAGGTCGCTGAAACTTTCGTTGGGTGCGCAGCTGCTAGACCATGCAGATTCTGTCACTCTTAAAAGTGCAGGAATAGTGAGTGGTGATCGACTCTTCCTGGAAATGTACGTTACTTCTTTAATTCAGATGTTGAAGTTCCGTCGAGACAGACCACCATGGGATTTCGCTCACAGGGACTGGGCTTACGTAAAATCGTTGATTTGGGTCCACGGGGTTCAAGTTTGCTAGAAATAAAGGCGACAGTATAAGGAATACTGACGATAGGTGCCAGGACTAGACTTCCCCCTCCCACCTCACGTACAGTATGAGCGGTTTGCTTGAAAATTTTCATTTTGGGTCTAGGGCGTTCAACTTTGGTAGGAGTACAGGCGGCAAGATTAGTATACTGATGGTAGGTGGTAGAAAGTGACTGAGCTGGATCCCGCACGCGGATAGCGGGGATATAGGGGGTCGTGGATAAAGTGAGCGTTATCTGACTGTGTGAATTTGCGAGGTCAAGTTGAAAAAATATGGAGATTAGCCAAGTGTTTAACTAGAGTTGAGCAGGACTTCGCTTCTGACGGGCGAGGCGCTCACGAAGTGTGTCGTGTGCGTGTGGTTATGTGTGTATGTACGTGAGTATGTACGTGTGTATGTTTGTGTGTATATAGGTGTATATGTGTGATTGATCATTTATAAATTTTGTCCCGCTGGGCCTAGAGCGTTCAAATTTCGTATGAATACTCGCGGCAGGATGGGAACACTTATGATGGGTGGCAGGACTGGACTCCGCCCACAGTGGACGGGGTTTAACGAAAATCATACCTGCTGTACCTGTGCACTTAGAGCGTTCGAATTTGGTGGGAATACTGTCGGCAGGATGGGAAAACTTTGGACAAGTGACAGGACCAGAATTCGCCCGCAAAGGGCTGGAGGCTTTCAAATTGAAAAAAATTTGCTAGGAATAAAGGCGGCAGTATGGGAACTCTTATGATAGGTGGCATGACTTGACCCGCCCACAAGAGGCGAGACGTACGCGGAAATTGCTGATTTTTACCTGGAGCGTTCAGATTTAGAACGCAGATTCAAGACACCGGTGGTAGGCAACGGAAAGTTACCGAACTTGATCCTGCCCGCAGAGGCGTATGGGGATGTAGGGGCCATAAAATGAGCGTGCTTTGAGTGAAAACACGCAGTCAATTTGGAATAAGAGGGATGTACCAACGCACGAAGTGTGTTGATGTGTATGTGTGTTTCGCTAGAAATCGATAGCTCCCTTGTTCTTGGACCAGAATTTTAGATTTGGGAGAGTGTAGGCAGCGGGTCAAATTCACACAAGAAGGAGGAGAGCCCGGCGTTGGCCGGGCGACCTGACCAATCGAATACAAAGTCGAAGATTCAGGTCATATTACTGTATCATTCAGAGGTTCTCATGCGTCGGAACCTATGGAATGTGGCTCTCAAATTTCCGATACTGGAACTCGCAACGTCGAACACGATCCACCTAAGAAATCGGACGAGGAGATTGATGCGACCATAGAATTCCGAGATAATGTCGTTCGAGCTACGAGGGATTACTTGGAGGGCTCGGGATATTCTGTACGTTAGCTGAACAGTCTTCATCGCCCACAGTCAGCATACAGAACTAAGCGATACTCGAATTTCAGAATTCTTCACTTCAATCATGGTCTTCAACTCATGTCGCCGGTGCTGAGCTTGGATTCGAGCTTCGTGCTCGAAATAGGGCACTCAACATCTTTGTTGTTATAACAGCTCTACCTTTGCCAAGCCTTTCTGCCATTGTAAATGTTGGGAGAATTGTTGGTGAGACGCTTTGAAAATTGTAAAAGTCGAAAAATATTCCGTTTTTGGGGAGTTTCTTGGGCCACTATGTTGTATTGCATGTCAACATATGTGTACATGAAAAACACCTAAGATCTGGTCTTTCTGCCTCCGCTGTATTACAGCTCACTGAGTCATGTAAGCTATTTTACGACGTTCGAAGGCGAAATGCGGTCTAAACTTAACCTGTGCTGGATTGGATTTTCGCATAATTGTTTTTTATTTTGAAATATGATGAATTGACTACTTGATCATTCTGTTTTCTTAGATTTGTCACGGAAACTCCTTTCCTCATTTACTGTGCAACCAGCATCCATCAAAGACAATGTGATTAGTGGAGTGGCCGTCGCATTATCTGCTTCAGGTGAGCACTGTTTCAGTGGTTTTGTAAATTGAATTATTCACTTGAAGACGCAGTTCACGATAATTTTGATATGCCCCTCTTAAGTTGGAAAGAGGAAGTGCTAGTGGAGAATAATGTACCGGTGGTGAAAAAGGCGGGAAAATCCGCCAAGTTCGCGAAAATGAAGTGAAGAAATCAGAGGTCGTACGAGATTACCATGACGGAAATGGCATGGAATGGGTAATCGGACGAGATATCTGCGCTTACAGTTGCGTGAACAGCTGACTAGATTAAGCCAAAAATGTTCGGAACTGATTCCACTCCTTCCTCCGGGCCGCGAAGCCAGTTGGTTGAAGTTGCAAGATGGGTGGCCGCTGTGAATGGTGCCGCCTAGCTCACCCAGAAAAACCGTTCGCTTTGGGAGCGCCACTAAACCGGTGCAGCCTTTGCCCATTATAACGCCATATCTAGGTCTTTTTCTGAACTTCCGCCGCATTCGGTATATGGGACGGCATCAGATTCATCCTAGGGGTATCTCAAAAACCGTTTTCTTCATGAACGTGAGGCGGTTGAAAATGCCACTAGCGTCTCGGCATGAAGATAACTACGGAAATAGCTAGAAGGATGCAAGCACTCAAGAAGCTGCTGCTGTTCCCCGAGCAGAACTATTCCGTTGATGTCGAGTAAAGCCCCCTATTTTAAACTCTTATCTGCTATTATATTTTGTGATGAGTTAGCTAAAACCCTTTTTGACATGATCCTGACCCTAACTCCACGTACATGGGCGACATTTGGATTCCTCCACTTTAGGAAACGATCATAGCTGATGGCATGATTTAGATGAGAAAACATAATCAATCAGCAGAAGGCATAAAGCCTCGACGTTTTTTTGTTTCTTTTTCGGCCTCTAGTTTAATATCATAGGGGTTTTTAGAGGATAAATTCTTTATTCTGGTAAAGTTTTTGACGTTAACGAAACGAATTTTCAAGATCCGCCACCGCATCCAACCTTTATTCAGAACCGTAGCGACGTTTCGAATGCATATGCAGCCTGTACAATGACTTGCGGTGGTCAGCCGATATAAAAGTCAAGGCTTTTGTCCCCTTCCTTACCCTTCCCTCCATCTCCCCTCCGCTTGGCCATGAGATTGTTTCGCACGAGAGCTTGATAATCCGAATCGAAATTTGCGATTGTCAAGATGTTTTCCAATCCCCCTCTAACAGTCCGCGATGCCTACACATCAGCATCAAGCTGCGAAGAAAAGGAACTGGAATCGTCTACTATATAATATAGACCCGAAAGAGCTCCCCAGAGAGGATGGCACTTTCTTCAAAGTTATTTTCGGTGATCTCGACGCCAAGATTGGCCCCTCAGAAGAAAGAGAAATGGGTGGGGAGGAAGATTGTCCGATTTCTCAACTCGACCCACAGTATCCAGGTATTTCGCAGTTTCAGAGGCCCTTTCGTTCGCGACGGACCTGTAGGTCATCCAGTAGACAGTTCCACAAGGGAATAAGAAACACCAGTTCCAATAAAAAGTTTTGACTGAATGACGTCACTGTTGTTCCGATGTTCTATCTAGAATCGGACCAACTTTTCCTCCGCACCTCGTTCAGAAAATTTTTCATAGATTGTCTCAGATTCGAAGAAATAACTGTGGGAAAGACCTATTCGAAGATTACCTACGGCCTAAAAAGGGCACAGTAAGAGCTGGCGTCGATGTTGAAGTTTATCCATGGTCGTACCAGCTTTGTAGAAGCGGCGAATCCAATGGGTGGACCGTACTTCAGTCACAGTCCTCCTTGCAAGTAGCATCCTTGTGCGAATGCCGATGCCGAGCAGCGGAAAAACTTCTCTGAAACGTTTTTATGAAAGTGCTGCCACGTCCATTTACAGTGTTGGAAGTAGACAGGTTCAAGGAAGAAGAACGTCGAGGGTTTCTGGTGCTTTTTCTGATTTGTCAACATGAGCGCAATATTCAGCGTCAAACACGTTCTTTCCATACCTTTTCGGTCACAAAGTATACTGCTTTCGCTAATTTCGTCTTCTGCTTGGCTCTTCAAAAGGGATGCGTTGAGATTAGCCTACTGACTTTGTATTATAAAGAAATTTATCGTAATGTGCGAGTAATTAGAGATGGCTAGCACCATTGAACTTTGACGTTTCTACTAACAAGATTTGGAAGATCAAGTGAATGGTGAAGCCAAAAGTTGTTTTGAATTGTGGCCCGGTTCAGTTTCTGATAACAGGTTCATGATTTGCACTTCCTTTCTCACATTTTTTCGGCCGAGATTCCCAAAATTTAAGTGAATGTTCCTTTTTAGTGTAGTTTGGAAACAGCTTTGATAACCAAAATATGGGTTACCTCTGAACGAATTGAAAAAAAAATGTTAATCGAAACGCGTGTTTGGGCAAGTAGATCAGTATTGTAGACCCTTCAACAGCTGATATTTTACAGAAGCTACTGGCGTCACCCTTATTCATTTGCTTTCCCTGCGATGTATTCGTGAACAAATACTGGCGCACATGGTACCTCGCGCCGTCACCCGTCTTTCTGGAGTGAATCGTCTGTTGCGATCCATTCTGCAGGCACCATCTGTGGACAGAACGTTCTGGCTGCATGTGTTAAGTCGGTATGTTGATTTCAGCTTGATAGCTCTATGATCCTATTTATATGCGTTCGCTCAGTCGACGCTGTTTATTTACTTATACGTGAAATGTAAACATATAAACAATTTCTGAGATTCTT